GCTCGGGTCATGGTTCCAGGGTCTGGGGATCAAGCCCTGCGTTGGGCTCCCTGCTCAGCGGGAGGCCTGCTTCTTCCTCTCCCACTCCCCCTGCTTGTGTTCCTGCTCTATCCCTCTGTGTCAAATAAATAAATAAAAATCTTAAAAAAAAAAAGATTAACTGAGGTCATAAGCATGGGGCCCTGATCGATAGAATCAATGTCCTTATAAGAAGAAACCTCAGAGAACTTGTTCCACTGTGTGTGTGTGTGTGCGTGTGTGTGTGTGTGTGTGTGTGTGTGTGTGTGTGTGTTTACAAAAGAAAGGCTATGTGAGGACAGGGAGAAGGAGGCTACCAGCCAAAAGAAACTGACTATACTGAGACCTTGACCTTGGACTTCTAGCCTCCGGAACTGTGAGAAAATAAATTTCTGTTGTTTATGCCACCCAGTCTGTGATATTTTGTTAATGGAAGCTCGAGCAGACAAACATGCTGAGATTAAAATGTTTCTGCAAGGAAGTCTAAAATACAATCATGAAATTAAACCTCCACTGAAGGTTGGAAACAGCACGGTGTATACTGAAGAAAATATAATCAGTGTAGACTGTGTTTCTCACATTTCAGTGAGCATGGGGGGCACCTGAGGTTCTGATCCAGTGGGTCTGGGGTCTGAGATTGTGCATCTCTAATAAGCTCTCCTGTGGCTGGTCTGAACACCATGTCCAGTGCGACGTAGCTATAGAGAACACTTGTCAAGCACAGAACATGTTAGACATGGCTGACAGTGAGCATACATATGTTTGTGTTTCTTAAGGATCTGTACAAATGCAACAGCAGAATAATTAAATGTACAATTGAAGGAAATTTTACTGAGGGTCAGAGGGAACTGAGAGTTCAGAGAAAAGGCACTACCATTTTATGTACAAAATTCAGTGAAATGCTCTGGTCCCTCCTCCCCAAACTGAAGAAAAACAAAACGGAACAAAACCAAACAAAACAAAACCAAAAAAAAAAAAAAAGAGAGAGACAGGTTTATATTTGTCATAAATTTGTTCACAATAGGGGAAAATGCAAATAATCTAAATATCCAATAGTAAATTGTTTTAAAATTGTGGTCTAAATAAAATAAAATTGTGGTATATTCATAGAGTAGAAACTAAGCTACCATTAAAGTTATGTAGCAGAAAAACATAAAATGATATTAAAAATATTCACAATATATTGTAAAGTGAAAAAAGAAGGTTGCAAAACAGCATATGATTCCACTCCTATAAACATGTGTATCAATGAATATGTGAATATGTTCACTGAAAAAACTGGAAGATATACACCTGCTCCCTAATGTGGGATTCCAGGTGATATTATTTTCTTCTTTCTTGCTGGTATTTTCTACATTCTCCATAGTGACGATAAAAATGGATCCATAGAAAAATGCCTAGAAAATAGAAATCACCAGCGATGCTATTGCTGGGCACTTTATGTCCAGTGAAGTATTTCATATTTAACTATAAACACCTAAATGATTTTAAAAGTTAAATAAACATTAACAGTGTTCAGGGAACATTAATTAGTACTTATCTTCAGGAAAATTGGCAAGGCCACCAGGGACAGCATGGCTATGACTTGACTTCTCTTGTTTGAGAAAAGAGTTTTCTTGTCCTATTTCCAATTTTCTATCTTACAAAAATTTCAAACATTCAAAAAGAGAATAAATAAGTTATATTGGAGGTGGTTTTATTTTATGTCTTCTTAAAATTATTTTTCAAATCAAAACTCACTTCAGTAAAGCTAAGAATAGATAACATTCTCAAAGTTGCCATAAACGCCAGGACTATTATAATATCCATTTTACTGAGCAACAGATTTTTAAAGCAAAACTGAGCAAAAACGGGTGCTGTAACAGATGTATTTTTATGCATAAATGACGATAGAAAACTTTATTTTTTAGTTTGAAGGAAAAAAAGGGCCACATAGTATTTTGGAAATAGATTTTTTTAATGTTTTTCCCTAAATGTACTTTAGTTTTACTTTCTATGGGCATTTCCTAAGTCTAACTAGATATTCTGAGTTACAAATTACAAAGATTTTCCCACATATATCCAATCTGCAAGTTCAACACTCTATTAAACGAGTTAAAAAGCTTAACATAATATAACATATTAATTTCTATATCCAATTCTCAACTCATCTTTTAAAAATAACAATAACAAAAGAAAAGAAGAGAAAAAAGGAAAAGAAAACCAGTCATCTCTTCTCCTATTATTATGGATATTAAAAATAAACATATTGCATTCAAGTTATTTTCTAAGTTCAAAAAACCACTTCAGGCATTTTCTAAAATTGAAACAGGACTTTCGAATTCATTTATGTCATTTCAGATAACTTACAAATAATTACTTTTGACAATGAAAAACTCAAGTTCTTTAGGTGGTAACTGACTTCCTAACTATAATTCTCAGTTTTTCTCACAATGTGGTAGATTTTTCCAAAATGACAGCAAAGTGGTCCTCTCATTGCTTTAACTACTTTATGAGTTTGTCCTATATCCATGTCTTTTTGTGCTCTCATGCTGGCCTTGGGCATACGACTGGCTTTGGACAATGGGAGATTAGATGAGGTGACACAAGCAGATCTTTTTAATCATCATTTTAAAACTTTTTATTTTTTCCTTATTTATTTGTTGTTATTTGAGTATAGTTGACTCGCTATATTAGTTTCACGTGTACAGCACAGTGATTTGACAAGTTTATCATTACGCTATGTTTACCACGAATGTAGCCACTGTCTATCCCGATACATCACTATTACAATATCTTTGACTGTATTCCTTACGCTGATCTTGAAAAGAGCCAGCCCTCGCCTGCTCTTGCCCTCTTCCACTACATGAGATCAGGTGCCAGGTAGCCTGCTAGAAGACAAGAGGCATGCAAAGCACAGGTAAGCCTCCCCAGTTGTCACAGCAGGGTCCTACTACATTGGATGACAGTTTTGTTGACTCCTAGACATGAGAACAAGTCCAGATGAGATCAGCAAAACCATCTAGCTGACTGCCCACACCACATGAGCAAAAAATCATATATTGTTAGATGTAGACAATGAATCATGGAACACTACATCAAAAACTAATGATGTAATATATGGTGATTACCATAACAAAATTTTTAGAAAAGATAAATAAATACTAGGGATATAATGTACAACATGATGACTGTAGCTAATACTGCTGTGTGGTGTATAGGAAAGTTAAGAGAGTAAATCCTAAGAGTTCTCATTACAAGGAGAAAATCTTTTTTTCTTTTATTCTTCTTTCTTTTCTTTTTATTGTCCCTATATGAGAAGATGGATGTTAGCTGAACCTCTTATGGTAATCATTTTATAATATATGCAAATGAAACCATCATGCTGTATGCCTTAACCTTATACAGTAACATGTCATTTATTTTTCAATAAAACTAGGAGAAACAAAAATTAAACATTTAAAATGCAAATTTTCGAGCACCAGGTACCAAGGAGGTGTATATTTAAGTCCATTCCAGTGTAGAAAGGAAATTGAAATTTATATTTTTATCTCATTTCCTTAAGATTTCTATTTTAGGGACACCTGGGTGGCTCAGTCGGTTAAGCGCCTGCCTTCGGCTCATGTCATGACCCCAGGGCCCTGGGATCGAGTCCAGCATCGGTCTCCTTGCTCAGTGGGGAGCCTGCTTTTCCCTCTGCCTGCCCCTCCCCCTGCCGCTCCCCCTGCTTGTGTGTGCTCTCTCTGACAAATAAATAAATAATCTTTTTAAAAAAATCATATATTGTTGAATGAACACTACTCAGGTTTTGTGATTGTTACTCATCACTTATTATGGCAATATATAACTGATGCAAAGGTAACATCAGCATTGTGTTGACACTGTTGTACAATAAAACAGTGAATTGAAGGTATTTAGAATATCCTGCAGAAGAAGCAATGATGATAGTGTCAGAAGTGAATGAGAAAAGAAACTTGAGGGGCACCTAGGCGGCTCAGGGGGTTAAGCGTCTGCCTTCGGCTTGGGTCATGATACCAGGGTCCTAGAATCGAGTCCTGCATTGGACTCCTTGCTCAGCGAGGAGTCTGCTTCTCCCTCTGCTTGCCACTCCCCCTGCTTGTGCATATGCACGCTCTCTCTCTCTCTCTCTCTCTCTCAACCTCTCTCTCTGACAAATAAATAAATAAAATCTTTAAAAAAAACAAAAACTTGAGCAAGAGTTAAGAAGAGCTGATAGGTGTTCATCAAGACATTTAAATATTCCTGGGAATTCTCAAATATTGTGGCTGTAATGAGAGCTAAATTCCCTACCATCAAATGTCACTTGGTTAACACAAATTATTATATTTGTTTTTTTTTTTTTAAAGAGGGGTTGGGGCACCTGGGTGGCCCAGTCAGTTAAACATCTGACTCTTGATTTTGGCTCAGGTCATGATCTCAGGGTCCTGGGGTCAAGCCCCACGTAGGGCTCTGCGCTCAGTGAGGAGCCTGCTGGAGATTTTCTCTCACCCTCTCCCTTTGCCCCTCCCCATGCTCGCTCTCTCTCTCTAAAATAAATAAATCTTAAAAAGAAAAGGGGGGGGCAATCTTAGAAGGCCAGACGACTTAGGTACCTCATTTTACTAAAGTTTATTATTGTGAATTTCTTGAATCCTTAATATAACAATGGAAGGAGTAACTAATAAAAAGTAAAGATTGTGTTTCTTTTTTCCATAATTAATAAACCACCGAAGGGCTGTGACAATGTTTAATAAAATTTATTTTATCTCCCACAGTACCTAATCCTATGATTTGCACATAAATTGGCACTCAGTACATGGTGTGTTAAATTGAGTTGGACAATTATGAAATAATTACTTAGTAATTTCTTTGAGTTCTTTGAGAGAATTTTCACCCAAGATTTTGCTGAAAGCTACATTCAAATGTTTGAAATTGACACAGAAGTCTATGCTTATTTGTATATGGCTCATTTTTAAAATATAACCCATTTAATCTAATTTCAGGTAACCATAAATTTAATATCATTGGCCCATGTTCCCTACAACAAAAAGTACAAAGAATACCTGGGAGAAGTTGCAGATGAGAAATCAAGAGAATAAAGCTGTTGCTAACACCAGTGTTCCTAGCGGCAAAGGGACAAGGAAAAACTAGAAGATAAAAGTTGTTTGCTTATTTGCTCTCTTGTACCTATGGGACCTCAGGTAAATTAACTTAAGCACTTTTGCTTGATTATTTTAATTTCCTACTAAATGGAGGGAAAGGGAGAAATGGAAAAAGTATGTTCTGTGTCCCTCACTGGATTATAGTAAGAATGAATGAGTTGGGGTATGTGAAAGCCATTCAGACTTTATACAATGTGATATCCCATCATCCTCATTAATATGACACTAGATAAGAGCACACTATACTCTATGTAGCATCATACTTATCTAGCTCTAACTCTCTGATGTTAAATAATCACTTTCCTTCTTTTATTCCTACTCCAGAGAACGTAATTCCACACCTTCCTTTAACCTTGGCCAGGCCACAGACACACCAAGAACTCCCTCGGTGGGGCCATGCCTTCAACCTATGAGTCAGAGTCTGGACTGGCTAAATCATGAAGACCACTTTAAGTAACTTGCAATTGCCTTATTTATTAGACTATACACAATTTCCCTATTTAAGTTAATGTGATACTTTGAGGAAGTTATATAGGCAACAAAATGCAATATATGCAATAAAATCAGTATGTAGCCTATTCTGAAATTCAGTTAGCCCACCAAAAAGGGTCAGAGTTAAGTCCCTGATATTTCGTAGAAATGAAAAGAAAGTTCACCACACAATAGTCTTTCTCTGTGGAATTCATAAAAGAGAACACTGACAATATAAAAGAAACTATAAGTTTGAATGATCACCTACCACGCACAAGTAGTGAGAAAAATACTAGATTTGAACCACAAGTTGTATGCTCATATCCCAGATTTACTCCCAGCTATAATGTGATCTTGAGCAAGTTATTGCACATCTCTTAAGTATCCATTTTCTCACGTATACAATGATATCAGTACCACCTATATTACAAAATTCCCGTAAAGATTAAATTTGGCAAGTCTTATTAAATAAGATTAAAGAATACCATACTCTTAGTTTCCTTTTTTTTTTTTCTCCATCTTCCCTGAAATTTGGTTAAAGCAAATCTTGTTTCAGAGGCCCAGTGTTGGGGCGCCTGGGTGGCTCAGTTGGTTAAGCATCGGACTTCGGCTCTGGTCATGATCTCGGGGTCCTGGGATGGGGCCCCGTGTCTGGCCCCCGCTCAGCAGGGAATCCGCTTAGCTCCCTCTCCTGTCCCTCTGCTTCTTTCAACCTGCTTCTCCCCCTGCTCATGCTTATGCTCGGTGCACGCTGCGCTTTAACTCTCTCTCTCATATAAATAAATAAAATCTTAAAAAAAAAACAAAACCCAAAGGCCCAATGTGTGTGTCTCCCTTCGCTGAAGCTAAGGCCATTTCTGGTAAGACTATGCCCATCCAACTGTGTAATATAAGTCCCATATTCTTGCTATCAATGCAGACCTTTGTAATTTATGTCATTTCTTTCTTACTCATATAGTCTCCAACTCCAGATCTCCGACTGTGGCTCTGTCGTATGGCAAATATCTTCCATGTGCTCACTGCCTGAGCACACTTTATTACCCCCTTCATCTCACCTACTATGGTAGGAACCTATATAATTGTAAAGTGGTTGCATAGTAACCACATTATCAAGTATCTTCATTCCACTTCTATCTTAAAGCTCCAAACAACCAGTGGAGCATTTTTCAGTAAACAACAGTCTTCAACCAGAAAGAGAGGAAATAAACTTCCAGGTTGCTGATTCCGTTATTTTTTTTTTAAATTAGTTACCTCTGTGTTTATATTCACCAGGCTTGTATGTGAAACAAGAACTGAAGTGCTCACAGATGAGGCGACAATTAGCATCAAAACATACCACATGCCAAGTGAGAGTTGTTGCAGCTATCCAGTTATCTAGGTTATCACTGACAAATAGCTTCCCCCATAACATGAGAAATCTACAGCCACCTGCTCTTTCTTGGCTGGTGGAGGGAAACAGACTTCATAGTCCACTGGCTCTGCTAAACTGTGAATTATAGGTGAACCAAAGCCCCTCTGCCAGCCATTGAAAGAAAAATGACCTCAGCCAGCAGGAGGACACTCCCTTGCCATAAGAAAGGAAAAGAGACTTGAGAAAGCATTTAATCCAAGACCCTCATTGCACAGATTAGAATTCGGGTCAAGTGCTTTGCCGAAGTCGTAAAACAGTTATTTAATTGCAAAAATAGTAGGAGCAGAAACCTTTCTGCTTAAATTAAAGATTCTTCCAGGGAGGCAGCATGACGTATGTTGTGGTATTGAGTGAGACTGCCTCGGCTTGTATTTTAATTCTCCAATTATGTATAAGCTCTCAAGTTAACCTTTAGCAACTTCACGTTCCTCAATGCTATCTCACAGGGTCATTTTGAAGAGTACATGAGACAATCCACATAATATTTGTGTAATTGCACCTTACATAAATTAAGTACATGCTAGCAGTTATTATTATTCAGTGGTCCAGAAAACCTAAACCTGTCAGATCCCAAAATAACTTACCGATATCTTCAAAAGAAGGGAACATCTTACATTCAATGCAATGGTAAAGTCAAATAAACTTCCAAAATTTAAAGCTATATCTAGATCACCCATTATTCAGTCCTTTTAAAATTCTCTCTCCCCTATCTCTGGAATGACCATCCTAAGCTTTCAGCAAATGCAACTGGCCCAGAACAGTAACCACGTATAATATAGAGTTTAACAAATAAAGGTTTTTATTTCCATCAAAAACTCTCATTTGAGCCTTTAAACCAGATTCTAGCTCTTTTATAGAAGAAGAAAAGAAAACAAAAATTTATGAAGTATGAGGAACCCTGTCTATTTTGAGCCTTGAGCCATGGCTTAAACATTCTTTTAAAGAAAAGCCTCCATGATTAATTATCACTAATTATATTTTTTTCTCTAGTAGATCAACAATGAACTAGATAGCATTTGGGAGAGTTTATTTTTGGTTAGCCTATTAATCTTAGCCAGAATAATCAGGGGTTGGGGATGTGAAAAAGATTTCAGAAACTATTCTGTCAAAGATCCGCATTTTCAACAGGACCAAGGCAGGTTTTCTTCCTCTCCTCAAAAATAACAAACAAGCAAAACAAACAGAAAACAGAAGGGTGAGGTGGGGGTACCTATACAGCTCCCTCCTTTAAATAGATTCTTTGGGAAAAAATCATTTGGAATATTACTCTTAGGCCTCTCCATGCCTATTGATGATATAACTGAATTTTGAACACTTTCTTCTTCTACAATTGTCTTTTCTTTGGGGACACCCATTCCTTCTCTAACTTCAAAGATCAGTAAGTATTAGCATACAATTTCAAGAGACCACAAACTCGTTTACCTTGCTTCTCTGGAACCAGGTATGTTTTCTCAAACAATTTCCAAGTGTCATTTTTACCACATCCGTAAAAGCAGAAGCCATTGGAAGTGGCTTGTTGTTGGCAACCCAAGTTCCCCAAGAGAAAATCTGAGACTGACCCCCATACACAGAGGACAGAAATAGACCGAAGAAAGAGGCAGGCCACTCCAGATTGGTAGGTGGCAGTTTTAATAAGCAAGGGAACTTACACATGAGGCTGGTCTTCATGACTTCAGAACAAGCAGATCTTCGCACCCCACCAAACCCGTGAAAATTTATATAGGCCTTACCTGGGCTCAGTCCAGAGGGTCTCAACAACACTTTGCTCTCTCACAGCTGTGTTCTTCACGTGGCTCCTAACTCAAGAACAGTGGGCAGAACATACACTTTAAGGACAGAGAAAGGGTGTAAGTAGCCTCTGATTGCTGGAGTTCAGCTCAGAGGTCAATCAGTGGTCACATCCTCTGATGACCTCCTCCAGTGTGGCTGGACCAAGCAACTGGGGCATCTACCTAGAGCTTTCAGATCTTTCCTATTTCTGGAGTAATTTCTCTGGCTCTTATAAGGAGACTGCTATGGTATTTTCAGGCCAGTTTCATTACAATATTATAATCTGCTACTCCAAAAATATTTCTTTCATTTTCTTAATGGTACATCAGATCCCGAAAAGACACTGTGGGTCTTTCTGTTTGATTATTTATGTGCATGTTTTGTTTTTGGAAACATCAATGCAGAAAGGGAAAATGATAATAATGAAGATCATCTAGTCTCAGAGTTCATTAAGCCGGTTAAAATTTTCCCAGTTGACACTTTTCTTCTCTTGCCTGTGTGATGAAACTGACATTTTGGGGGCACCTGAGTGGCTCACTTGGTTAAGCAGCAGCCTTCAGCTCAGGTCATGATCTCGAGGTCCTGGAATCAAGCCTCATGTTGAGCCCAACCTATGTTCAACTGCAAATGTAGAATGATAAATCCTTTAAATGAGAATTGAAGCTCACAGTAAGGCATACATTTCTGCGATGAAATTAGTAAAGATAATGGTTGTGAATTTGACTCACCAAATAATGGTGAGTTAGGAAGTTGAGGGTTGTGGACAGATGGAGAAAAAAAAAAAATGGATAACAGATCAATACAGTTCTAGCACAAATATAGAAGTGCCAATAATTTGAGCTTCATTTAACTTAGTTTTTTTTCTAAAGTTTTGGGTACTTAGTGAGGTTAGAGAAAGATCATCTTAGGAATCATCTAGAACAACATGAATGAACTTTGAAGAATTATGCCAAGTGAAATAAATGAGTCACAAAAAGACAAATACTGTATAATTCTACTTGAATGAGGTACCTGAGTAATCAAATTCATAGAGACACAAAGTCTGGTGGTTGCCAGAAGTTGTCGAGAAGGGGATATGGAGCTGTTTAATGGGTACAGAGCTTCAGTTTGGGAAGATGAAAAAGTTTTGGAGTTGGATGATGATGATGGTTGTACAACAATGTGAATATACTTAATACTGCAGAACTATACACTTCATTTTTTTGAGAACTGTACACTTTAAAATGACAAATCTTATGTCTATTTTACCACAGTAAAAAAAATCACCTGCAGAAAGATGGCAAAAGAAGAGATTGATTAGGATGATGAAATTGAAATAAACGTGGGAAATGAAATATATATGTGTTAACAAATTTCTTTATCATAAAATCTGTTTTAGCCTT